TATATTGATGGACCATTTGTATCTGTCCTGATAATTGACGATTTCTGGTCACATATTTTGAATCCTGATTATTTTCTAGGCCTTACCACAAAGATTCTCTACATTGTTACCTCGTCTCCATATCAATGAATGAAATGATTCTATAGTGGTCCATCAAAGGAATGTATCAAAATGTACTTAAGTGCTTCCCTGTTAACTGGCATTTAGGTTACTCGGGAGTTTTTGCTATATAAATAATTCTGGCTGCAATATATGTTTGTGTCTATGATTTTCCCCAATTTTAAGTTATTTTCTAGGAATAAATACCCAGAATCTATCCAAAGGTATAAGAGGCCTTAATCATTATAAAGTATCTGGCTAACGTAGTCAGACTAGTTTGTTGTGATACTAAAGCCAACCTTGCCGTGAATTTTTCACCTTGAAATGAAAGGAGGGAAAATCCAAGTTTAGTAAAGAAAATTGGATTTTTTTTTTATATGACTCATCCTTGGGCAAGGAAGAAAACGAGGCTGAGCCACATCTTGCAGAATAATATTTTCTTGGAAATACAGGTTCTTCCTATTTTCGATGAGATTTCCTTCTAGAATTAGCACCACCACCATGACTCATGTTCAGTCACTAAGGTTCTACATTGCACAGACTGCAAAACATGAGTTATTCAGCATTTCTTTTCAAAAGTAACACACAGCAAAACGAAACTAGCAGTCAACAAACTGTGTTGAAACAGAAAAGGTAAAAACCTAGGGGATTTTCTGATTTTGTAAATATCACTGAATTGGGGAAGAGATGATAAATCCTTATTTGTTATCAATTGAGAAATAGAATAAAAATTGTGTTCTTCCGGAAAATTTCTAATAGTCCATGGAGACAGTTGTATCCTAATGCATTCCTTTTGATTTTAACGAACCTCATTGTTGAGAAAATATTTGCTTTTTCCTCCCTTCTTTTACAAGTTATCTTATTTCTTACTTCTCATAAATCCTTTAAGGTAGGTAGGGCAAGTGGTGTCATATGATGGAGAAGAAACGATTGGCCCTGGTAGTAATGACACCAGACACGGAGGATGGAAACTCGGGTTCCAGAACCAGTTCTGGTACTTTCTATTTGTGTGGTCTTGGGCAGGCTAATTATCATCATCATCATCATCTCTATCAACATGATTACTATC